GCATCTTTTAGGAACTGTGCCAATAGAATGGCAATGCCAAGAGAGTCTGACAGCTTTGGAAAGGAACAGGTATCAGGATTAGGTGTCATGTTTTAGTCAAAAGAAGTCCTTTTGTATAGAATACTCTCTCAGATTTTCCTACAGTAATGGTGATTTCAGTACCTCCAAGTGGCACCTTTTAGAAATACTAATTTTGCCAGTTTTAAAACAGTTTATGGTCTTGTGAAACCAAGTGGCATTGATGGTTATGCGATCAGAAGATCATTGGCAAAGATGCATACAAATAGTTAACAAGGTAATGGTAAGAAATGTTGACCTTGATTTGTTTAGCTAAGATGTAAAGATTTTTGAAGGTCAAAGGTGTCCTTGTGTAGTGTTTTGGAGTCTAACTGTGTCTGACCCTCTAACATTAAGCTGCTGTGGCCTGCAGTTTTGAAGAGTGAAGCAAACCAGGGGGAGAGAGAGAAGGGGGAGAGAACAGGAAATGGAGTGAGGTGTTTCAGGAAGTTGTCAGGAGTTGACTGATTGATTCCAGATGGAAAGGGTCAGCCTTCGTGACCCAGGAAATACTCACTAGGGGAAAGAAGTTGGCTTGTGGAAGGGGAAGGCCTGGGAGTGAGACGATGTTGGAATGCACATTCCACTTCCTTTAGTCTTAAAACATTCAAAAATTTTAAACTTCTCTGAATAGAATAATATCAGTGTTGTCATCATTCATCAGAAAACAGTGAAGGAAGTTAAATTCGAAGCTTTGAATGTACCAAATGTATCTTCACCTCCATAATACAGCTCATTTTTCCTCAAGTTGAGCAAATTTATCTTAAGAGTCAGTAGGTAATTGTGTGTCTCAGTATAGAAGAGAAACAACCAAATCTATCAAATTTGATGTTGTGGAATTTGATAATTAAACTCTATACATTTTGCACATTTGTTTAATTGGCGGGCTGTTCTAGGTGCCTCATAGTTTAAGATATTTGAAAATTTAAAACTGAGACTTGACGTGTGAGTGTGTGTGTGTCTGTGTGTGTGTATACATACAATGAAACTAAGACTTGTCATACACATACAAACACATACACACACATTTGGACATAATTTAAAATCTTGTCATAAATTTTGCAGACACTGAAATAATTCAGGTTAATTCCTTTGCTGTCATGAGAGGCCAGTGCTAGCCAGCAAGAGATTAAAATTTATTTCCATTGTTAATAGAAAATAATGAAGTGTATCTGAACCATCAGGGTATGTCATTCGGGAAATGTTAACTTTGGAACTAAGTCTCACTTGACCCAAATGGACAATGATGACATCAACTGGCTCTGGAAAACTCCATATTTTGTGACTGGAATGCATGAGGAACAGTACTATACAATATGACAAGAACCTTGTGGAATGAATTAAAGTCGTCCTAAAGAGAACACCTTTCACATCCACATAATCGTCAAACAGGGCAAGAGTTCTGTGTGTGCTTAGTTCAGCTCGTTCACAATTAAAGTGTGAAACACCCTCTTGATTTTTCTCCAGAGATGACAGACATGTCATTGAAAATATATTCACCTAATTTCCCTTGTGCGAGTGTTCTGTGTTCATCTTTCTTCTCCCTATGTGTGAGCGTGTATAGAGGAAGGCTTTCTATTTGTAAGTTCATCTCAGCTGTGTGATTATGAGTCGTAGCATCAGTTTTGCGTAGGATACAGTTTTGCGCTGTGCTGAAATCTGTCTGCTAAGAACCCGTGTCTTCATGAGCTTGTGGAGAGAGATGAATGCTTATTGTCTTACGGGCACCAGAAATGTTAGTACCTTTTTGGAAGTACTTTTCCTAATTACTAACATTCTAACATGTAAACCAGGAAAATAGACCCAGAGCAACCAGTTGCACTTCTTAATTATGACTGATTATACTGATAATTACTTTCTGCATGACAATCTGTTGTTGTTGTTAAAATGCTGTTGAGTTGGGTACAACCTATGTGACCCCTGTCCAATCCTGTGCCATTTTCATCATCTATGACATACCTTTTTGCCCATTGCTGCAGTCACGGTGTCAATCCATTTTACTGAAAATCTTCCTCTCTTTTGCCGACACTCTACCTTTCCAAACATGATGTCTCTTTCCAAGGGAAGTCATAGGGAGACGAGACAAAGGACCATTCTTCTCTGTCTGTAGTGCATTCACAGTGAGGATCTGAAGCGTAGAAGAAACAGATAGCAAACATGCAGTATATTGCCTTGTCAACACTGAATTTCTGTCACGATACCCAATATGTAATCAGTGATCAGTAGATATCTGTTGAGATGTTATGTTTGACACATCCTTAGGTCCTTGTGAAATGTCACATGCACTTACCACCATGTCCTCGGTGCCTTGGGCATGTGGACAGGTAAGATATTTTGTAGATTTATGTATCTTAATTTTTGCCCCAAATGTATTAAAGTTGAAATATGCCATCTAAAAATCTATATAAAGTGAAAAGTAAGAAAGGGTACATCTATACTAGAGCTTGCCTAGGGAGCAACACAGGATAACTTTCTAGGGGATAGACATTTTCTCTATAGTCAGCGTGCTGTGGACTACATAGGTGTAACCATTTTTCACATGTATGCAGCTAAGCTTTGTGTATTTCAATGTATGAAAATTTTACCTAAAAAACCCCAAAACTCCTTTGATAGCTATTGCCACTATCATAGTTGAGGGGATGAAGAGGGAAGTGGTGGTACATAGGAAATGAGAATGGCAATATTTTTACTTTTGCTGAAGCTAGATGATGGGTAGCTGAGAATTCATTTTGTTTTAAAATGTTCATTATAAATAGTTTTTAAATTGCCATCTAATGAATTTCTTGCCTCTTAGGAGATATGGCTGAGCCAAAATCTTTTTCTCCTTCATTTAATAAGTAAGGCAGGGAAAACAGAGAACTAACAAGTAGTATTTCAGAAAATTTAATTTGGAGGTAGGCAGGAGGAGCCAATTTTAAACACTGTTCCTCATTAGGTACCTATCAAAGTCTTTCTCCAAAAAGACTATACATATGCATGAATATGCATATAATGGTTTAATTTCTCAAAAATAAATTACCAAGCACAGCTAGCTGACTTGAGCTGAAAGTAGCTGTATCTCTTGCATGGTCATCTTCCTGGATTAAGGAAGTCATGGCACTGCTCAAGTCCAATTTCTCTTCATACACCTTTCCTGGCTGTTCTGGCCTTTGCAGATCTCCACTTCTTTGACCTTCTCACATACATTCCGTCTGCATCGCATATAACAGAACTGCGAGTGTAGATTGTATATCCCCATTATGTGATAGTCATACTTTCCAACTTGAAAATAAGATCGTTGAGGGTACGGATCATGTTTTGTATGTCTTTTGTAACTAACTCTAAGAGTCTCCTTAATAGATTCTCACCCAGAACTCAGAATACAGAAGAGACTCAATGAGAAATGCAATCCATCTTATTGATTGGTTAAACAGGGCAGGAGTGAGACAAGAATGTGAGAACTCATGATAGATGGATAAAAGATTGGTTTGTCAACAACTTCATCTAACTTGGATCTATAATCAACACCCTTCCTACCTACCTACCTACCTACCTACCTACCTACCTACCTACCTTTTGAAATCAAAAGGCGTGTGGCATTGGCAAAATCTGCTGCCAAGGACCCCTCCAAAAACCTAAGTGCAAGGATGTCTGTTTAAAGCCTAAGGCACACCTGATCCAAATCATGGTCTTTTTAGTCACTTGATATGCATTTAAAAGTTGGGTATTGAATAGGGATGACAAATGAAGAATCAGTGTGTTCAAATTGTGGTGTTGCAGATTACTGAATAGCCCGTGGTCTGCCAGAAGAACAAACAAATCTGTCTTGAAGAAAGTACAGCAAGGGTTCTTAGAGTCAAGGAAGGTAAAACTTTGTCTCACACGCTTTGGGCATGTTGTTATCAGGGATCAGCCTGTGAATAAAGTCATCATGCTTGGAAGTCATCATGGTGCATGGTCAATGAAAGACAGGAAGACCCTCAGCGATGTGGATTGACACAGTGATTACACCAATGAGTTCAGGTATCGCAAGGATGATGAGGACGGCACAGGATAGGGCAAACTTCTGTTCCATAGGGTCACTATGAGCTGTGGTCAACTCAGTGACATCTAATAACAATGGAGTCTGCACTAAATCTTTTATCTGTATTGTCTAATCCTCATAAAAGCTCTTTGATAATAGTGGTGGTTGTTTATGTTTTACAAACATAGATTTATCTTTGGAAATGTTAAGTAATTTGTCCAAAGTTATATGTAAAGACTTAATATTCTTGGAAATTGAACCCAGGTCTATTAATCTTCAAATCCATGCTCTTCTCTTATTCTATACTCATGTCTTCCCTTTCCTCAAATTAGAAATAAATGTCCTACATTTTGACACTGAATTCTCACAACTGTATATTCTCACTAATAGTCCATGCACCTACTGCATGCCAGTGGATGGGCACACTTCATACAAGTGATCAGCCAGAATCTCGAAACTCAGCAGCCCAGCCTTAGGCTAGTACATATCAGAAGGGCAAAAACTGACTTCTGAGCTCAGAAAAGGAATCTCCCAACGGAAATATAGAGCTTAGTGTCCCGACTATCACAGTTCACTCCTTCCTAGTGGTTACTAGAGTGTGAGGATCACTGGGAACGATTGGCCATTCCCTCTGAGAGCGGACAAGTTTTCTGAAATCTACAGGCAGATGGCCAGGATCCCCACTTCATAACATTGGCATCATATGTAAATAGGATGCATGACAATATATGGCAAAAGGGCGGCTTCTTTCTCCAAAAAGTTCTGCCATAATTACAGGAGAACAACCTATTGAGATGCTGAAAACATGGTACAGTGCTAAGTTCTGTTCTATTTTCGCATTCATTGCTGGGAAGTTTGGCAGAAAAAGAGTCCTGTTGCATTTATTGCTCCAAGTGAAGTTAACTCCACTGCTCCACTCCCCTGTTCTTGAAATACGCAGGTTGTGTTGTCAACAACTGTGAACGTGGATGGGCATGTGTTGGCTGTTTCTGACAACATGTTTGTTCATAACAATTCCAAGCATGGGCGGAGAGCAAGAAGACTTGATCCTTCAGAAGGTATGGCTGTCGAGGTGAATGTAGTAGACGGATGAAGTTCTCCACACATTTCCCTAATTGAATTCGAAATTTATGCCTGTGAGGAGTAGTGGAGAAAGCACACATCATCACAAGGGTTTGTGGGTTTTAAAATTCTAGGTGCTGACTCGAGCCTGCACTGATGTAACCCCTACACCTTGCCCAGCCCATGCTCAGGTCCCCGTGCTCCGCTGCCTCTTCCATTCAGTTCTGTTTTTCTTTTTGCTAGACACGTATTTCAGGCAAATGTAGGCCCATGACATCTGAGTTAAACAGGAACGTTACAGTGCCAGACGTGTATGAATAAGTGTCAGATGTGCCCTTAAACAAATTGTGAGCAAAACAAAACAATGTGCAGAATGAAACTGACACTAATTGATTTTTGTTTGCTTGGACAAGAAGAAATCAGGTCTGCTCTGGATAGTTTTCCAAGTGCATTAAAGTAATTAGAAATACTGGTAACTGTTAAACTTCAAGTTGTCCAAAAATTAAAATATATCAATTAAGACAACTGACAAAACTAAGTGAATTCCACCTTAGTTCTTTTCCTTGTTTCCACAATCTCTAACTCATTGGGATAAGAAGACATTAAAATATAGACCAAATGGCTAAACTAGTCAGCTAGTTGTTTTGCTACATACTGTCCAATGGCTCCCATTCTACCCACCCTAGCCTTTAAAATATCCCTTATATCATTTTAAATAAGAATTAACGAACTGAAAGAAAATGATTGAATCAGTAAAGAATTTGGAGTGGTGTTAATTCTCCTACAGTGGGCACTGAAAGGAGAGAAGAAAATCCCAGGGTTCAGAGCTAGGAGCCCATCCAGTTTCCTCCTTGACTGATTGGATGTGATTGACTGGCTGTTCAAAGGAGGCTCATGTTTTTGGAGCCCTGCCAAAGTTCTCCTCCACCTTTGACCCTGTCAACTTTGGAAATGGAGTGATGGATTGACTTTAGTTATGGCCTGAAAACCATATTGGGTTCCTGTTGGGCTGTAAAGTCCAGAGGCCTTGAACATATGGAAGAAGGAGTGAAAAATCCTTGCTACAAAGTTAATAAAGCGATTAGAAATTGTGTCTTGATAGAACTGGAGGAGGAAAAAAAAAACACCCTTAAACTCTGATAGGTTTTGTTTTCTCCTAACACATTAGCAAGTCTTGCAAACCTTAGCATCTTGCAGTTTGGGGCAGAGGAGGTGGGGAGAGAAAAGGGATTTACACATTTCCAATGTGATCAGCTTACAAAAATATGGGAAAAACAACAGAGTTTTAAAAACACTCTTTGCACAATTAGCTAAGTGTTTCACTTTTTCATATATAATGGCCAACTCATTAGGTTTTAATGGCCTGGTGAAAACCAACAACCAATTAGGGAAGGTTGGCAAGTCAACAAAGCACAGCTTGAGCTTTTTGGAATGACAAACAGCCCTCCAGAGCAGCCCATCCTAGAAACTCCACATTCAATCACGGAAGGCCAGCCTTGACTCTTTTCTTTCCTGTCTTCTTAGCTACACCCTGCATCAAAGCCATTAGCCCAAGTGAAGGCTGGACCACTGGAGGAGCCATGGTCATCATCATTGGGGACAACTTCTTTGATGGTCTCCAGGTGGTGTTTGGGACCATGCTCGTATGGAGCGAGGTAGGTAAAGGTACCTTGACTGGCTCATTTCCTTGGCCAAAAGATTGTTTATGCTGGGGAAAATAGTAATTCCCAGAGCACCAGCAGCATTTCTGAGTACTACCAAAGAAGCAAGGATAAAAGACATATAAATAATAATTGATTGTGGGGACAGAGATCTCAGAAAGAGAAATATACATTGCAAGATTATTTATAATGGTGAAAAATTACAAATAAGCTAAATATTGAGCAAATAGGAGAGTGGCTAGATAAGTAATGGGATATTTTAAAAGGAGCTTCGAAAAGTTTCTAATGATACAGGAAAAGTGAAAATGTTTGTACTAAAATGTTCAGTGGGAAAACAAAAGAATTTAGACAATTATGTTTGTGGATGTAGTATCTAATCATATATGTGTTCACAGAAAAATACTGAAAACATACCCCAACTATTAATAACTGGTTGTTCTTGAGTTAATATTATTTCTTCCATTTTCCTGTAATTTCCAAGTTTTCTGCATTGGATATGTTTTCCTTTCATAATCAGGAAAAAATAACAAAAAGTTCATGCATGGTACTAAGTTGGGTTTTCAAATTGCATAATTATTACAGAGTTCATAAGCAGTGAAAGAATTTGGTGGAGGGAGAGACGACAGCGAGGTGGAGAAACAGGAGGAGGAAGTGACTTGAACTGGACGAAGGGGAAGGACCTGGATCAGGAAGAAGAAAAAAGGGTGGAGAGGAAAGTCCAGAGTCAGAGGGAGAAAGTGGGAAACTAGGAAGGCTGTGGAGAGAGCACTTGGGTGGGCCTGGAGAGGCAGACGGCCCGGAGAGAGCCCAGTGTCCTCCGATGACCCGTGTAACAAGTGTTTCCCATCCTGATCTGTTCATCCCTCAGCTAATCACCCCTCATGCCATCCGAGTGCAGACTCCTCCTCGGCACATTCCTGGAGTGGTGGAAGTGACATTGTCTTACAAATCCAAACAGTTCTGCAAAGGAGCCCCTGGGAGGTTCATTTACACAGGTAGGTGAGAGCGAGATTTCTGGGAAGACTGGATTCTGGGGCACCATTGCCCTGGTTCTTTCCTTTATTTTATAATTATTTGTAATCATTCTAATTTTGCTGTGTCTTTCTAATAGTATTGAAAGGGTGACATGGGTGTCAAAACAACAATGGGGGTTAGAAATATAGGCTCAGTTCTGAATTTGTCTTTTACTTAAGTCATTTCTTTTTTTTTTTTTTTACTTCTGTGAAGCAGCCACTTTTTTTTTTTGTGACATACATCAAAACTTTATTACTCTATTATATATGTAATGAGCCCTGGTGGCATAGTAGGGTAAGTGTTGGGCTTCTTTTTTTTTTTTATTAAATTTTATTAGTTTTAATGAACATTTACAGAGATTTTGGGTTTTCATTCATTCATTGTTGCACTGTTTTCTCCACCCTCATCCCCAGTTCGTTCTTCTTCCCCCCCCCATGTCTGTTTTAATTGTCCAATTGCCACAGTGCTTGTCAAAGCCAGTTCTGATTAATCTCCTTTGTCAGTGTGTCCCTTGCCATTCCCTATCACTCCTTCCTGAGAGAGACCCCTGATTCATAAGGAAAAGGGGATGGCATATTCTCTTAGCTACTTCCTGCTGAAAAGGGACGCTGTGGGTTTCAGGGTGAATGTCTTCTCTCACTACTCCAAAGGGCCCCCTTAGCAGTAGGAAACACATAGACTATTATGGAGATTGATTTTGGAATTTAGCTGCACTGTTATCAATTGTGCCTAGCTGTACATGTTCATATCCTTGAAGATGTATCATGGAAGTGTTGCAGCCTAGAAGATACAAATTTAACAAGTTAAAAGTGCATGAGTCAAAAATTGAAAAGCAATAATATTCTGAGTAGAGGTTCTAATAGTGGCACAAATCAGGTTACAGAGGTAAGGTGGTTCCATTGCCATCCTTACTCTAACTTAATTCTTTTTTTTAATTTAAATTTGTTATTAATTTCAGTGAAAATTTACAGAGGCTTTGGATTTCCATTCATTCATTGTTGTAGATTTGTCCCCTCCCAAGGCTCCTCCCCACCAGACATTACCCTCTTGGAAAAGTAAAAGAAAAGATTCTTTCATTATTTTACAAACCCTCCCCCAGGTCCACTCCACCATGTAGCCATCGCTCTAGACTCCTGTCATGACCAAAATACTGAATCACATATCTCTTTTAAACAGTTTTCTCTATTTAGGTCATTTCTGCATGGTCTTGCAGTCCTTTGTCCAAACAGTCAGATAAAGCAGTTAGACAATGTTTTTAGATATACCTCAACTTTCTTGAAAATGATGAGATAGATAGATAGATAGATAGATAGATAGATAGATAGACAGATAGACAGATAGATAGCTATTAAAAGACAACTTGCATTGGGAAAGTCTGCTGTCAGAGACCTCTCCAAAGTACTGAAGAGGAACAATGTCAGTCTGGAAACTAAGCTGTGCAATTACTTGCTATGTATCAGAAAGCTGGACAATGACTAGGGATGATAGAAGGAGAATTGAAGCCTTTGAGATGTTCTGGAGAAGAGTATTGAATATACCATGGACTGCTAGGAGAGCAAACAGGTTCATGCTAGAGAGGGTGAGACAAGGCTGCTCCTTGGAGGCAAGGATTCTCAAGTTTTGTCTTACATACTTTGGGCATGTTGCAAGGAGGGACCAGTCCTTGGAGAGGGATGTCATGCTTGGGAGGGTAGAGGGAGAGAGGAAGGCCCTCTATGAGATGGATTGATTCAGTGACTTGGGTAATGGGGGTGGATATGTCAGAGACAATAAGATTGACACAGGATAGAGCAGGGTTTAGGGCTGTTGTATGTAGGGTTGCTATGTGTCACAGATGACTTGACGGCACATAACAACAAGATAGATGATAGATGATAGATAGATAGATATCTTGTACCAATTACACTGCAGAAAGACTCCCATTATTTAAAATTTTTAGGAAAAATAGAGCTTTTGTGGCCTAATGGTAAAAAGCTGTGCTGCAATTCCAAAGGCATGTGGTTCAAATCCACCAGCTGCACCAAAGGAGTAGAATAGGCAGTCTCTTCCCATGTGATTTACTGCCTCTGAAAACTCACTGGAGGGTCAGCTGTGGGTCTGTTCTGAAACAACAGCACATACACCTACAAAAGAGATAAATCTATTGCACTGATATCTATTAAATACCTATTTGCACCTTCTAATTTTTCTAGGTGGAAGGTACTGATAATATAGAAAACACTCTGTATTTGGATGTTTAGTAACTTTTGGAGAAGGCAAAAGAATATTTGACAGGACAGCTGGAGAAATAGTAAATTCAAGATGTTTGCTATTTACAATGACTGGAATAAACATTTCAGGAAGGAAGTTTAGTGATGGCTAAAATAGTGGGATGGAGTTTCAAGCAGATAGAAATTGAAGAACAATTTTAAAGGTGGTTTGATACGGATGGGTAAAGAGAACAGAGAAAAATTGTGTAGCTACTGAGAGTTACATGTGGAAATGCATGGAGAGTGAAATGAGCACTTACACAGAGATGTGAATGGGGCTGGTCCACAGTAATGCCACATGTATTTAGGAAGATCTTAGATTAGAGCATAGACTGGATCAGCTACAAAGGGGAGGGAAGGAATTTATAAAACCTACTACCTTGTATGGTCATTTGAACATGGTTTGGAAAGAAATAATAATTAAATCCCCTAAAATATTAATGGTCCTTGTACAAATGAGTTGTCTTAAGAAAAACAAACTCTGGTTATATGAACATTAGCAAGGAGGAGGGCCACCAAAGACAGGGAGATAAGAGCAGAGAGAAAGACATAAACTAAGTGAAAAAAGCAAACATATTATGCATTTTAATAATATTTATTTCTAGTTAGTCTTGTGTGTTGTTTAGACCCAAACTTCTATTCTCAATAAATGTAAGTGTCTAGTTAGATATCCTTTTGGAGTAGATTGAAGAGGATACTTTTAAAGTGGGTTTAATGTAAAATTTTGTTTTGAATGTTCTTTCCTGGAGTGAGTCCATCTGGTAGGGGGGTTTTTTTGTGGTTTTGAAGAAGAGTCTATTGTAATGGCAATAAGCTTTGACTCCTCAAGCTCCCAACAGGGATAGTTTGTTCAATCATTTGTTCACTTACTCATTCGAACTCTTGTTTAAAACATGCCGACCATGAGCTAGCCTAGCTGTACATTTTCGAATATAGAGGCAGACAAGTATAAACCTTCCTTTTCATGTAGCTTAAATTCATAAAGAAGGTAAGTGATATAATTTCAAATAGAAATCCGTTAAGGGGCAGAGGCTAAGGGAGTCCCCGCACCACATGGCCAGGGAAGGTCTCTCTGAGGAAGGATGTGGAGCAGAGGCCTGCCTCACCTGAAGAGGCCAGTCATAGAAATACGCATCCTCCTCTTCTCCTTTGATGTCTGACCTCTTCTGTTCTTCCCTTTCTCAATTCCATCCACATTGACTTTTCTCCTGTCATTGGAACATCTTAGGACTATTTTCCTATGTTATTCATGGATGTTTGCTAGAACTGTGACTGACAATCAATGAATCTGTAAGAAGAATGTTCTAGGCGGAAAGACCTTGAGATGTCAATGAACTTGGTGTCATTATAGAAGAGGAAAACTGTCAGTGTGGGTGGGATGGTGTAAGTGAGGAGGAGATGAGGTAGAAAAAGCAGGCAGCGGCACTGAGGACATTGAGAAGGGAGCTATCCACACACAGGCAGGAGCAAAAGACAGGGACTGAATGCGATCACCATGGAAGACTATGTGCCCAGAGGAAAGGAGAAATAGGGACAGTGCCTTGAAAGCACCAACATGTAAGGCTTAAGAAATTGAAAAGGATCTTGTGAAGGAAAAGGCAAAGGAGTGCTCATGGGATAGGAAGAAATCAGGAGAGTAAGCTTTTCCTGAAGACATGAGAAAAGTAGACTTCACTCTTGTCGCTGTTACATTCTGTCTAGTTAGAACTGAATCATAGCTGACCCTCCAGGGTTCAGCTGGCCCCCAGATCTTCAGAGGCACTAAATCACATGGGAGGAGATTGTCCATTTTCCCCCCCATGGAGCACCTGGTGGATTAGAACTGCATCATTCAGACTGACAGCTCACCTCCTTCACAGTAGGTCACCAGAGCTCCCTGGGACTTCACTCTCGGACACATTTTATATATAGGTTTCCAGCAGTTCTAGTTTCTCAAAGACATATCATCTAGATGGATCTGGTCTGTGAGAAGATAGGTAGATATAATAATGACTAGAAGCAATGCTCACCTCTGTATGGAAGTAAAGAATGAGTTCGTACGCGGCGTGGCTGTGGACGGGGTGGGGGGGGGGAAGCCAGATGTTAGGTACACCTGCAGGTGTGTGCACATGTGGAGGTGTCCTCTGACAGCAGAGTCTCTTCAACCTTGGCTGCACTTTAAATCACCAACGCCTACGTGGGATCCCAGACCAATTAAATCTGACTCTCTGAAGGTAGGGCCCAGGCCTTGGTGTAATCTCTATGTTAACTGAACAAGCATGTACAAGAAATTATGCTCAAGGCAAAAAAATCAATAAATCATTATGCCTCTAGCAGCTTAGAGTTCTAGAAGGAGATACAGAGTTCCTAGATTACAAAAATTAGGTTAAGTCCCAAAATAGATGTAAAACCAAAGAATGCAAAGACTGCCTAACTTTGAGGAATCAGCAAAGACTATATGGATGAGGTCACAAGTGAGATACATGATAAAAACAAAGTAAGAATTTTCCACACCGGATAGAGGAAGCTATGGGCCACAATTTCTGTAAACACAGTAGCTAACAAAATAGGAATTCATGTAACCATGAAAAGATGTTATGTCGCATACAAAATTAAGAAATTTCATGAATAAGAGACTTTGGAGAGCTTCTCGTCAAATTTCCTCTTTCGATGATGAGAAAACTGAGACCCTGGGGAAGTGACTTGCTCACAGTGATTTCCATACTCCAAATGTTGTTGTTAGGCATTGCCCA